TTTATAATTAATGTATACAACAATACTAAAAAATGTAATATAAATGCGAAAATGAATAAATGCAAAAATAAGAATGAAAACTGTGTAATGCAAAGATGTAAAAAGTAAGAATACAAAATGGAAATGCACAGATACAAAATGTAAATGCATGTATGAAAAGGTGTTACTCAAGAGTGATCATCTTAGAACAGATTTCATTGAACACAAAAGTTTTGGTACATCAAACAAAACTTTTACATGTAAGGGATAGCTTTTACTCCTAACTTCTCTATTTCCCTTAAAAGCCAAACTAACGTCCACTCATACTCAAGTGTGGAGTTATCAATCTGCCTTAACTCTCTCGTGAAACCAGCTAAGTCCACCAGCTTATGAGCCACATTGTTTGCTTGAGCAGCGGCTTCCTTCATGATATTGTCTTTTTCCTTCATCTTTTGCATTAACTCTCGAAGTTGTAAACAATATTGTTCATTTTTTTTGTGAGAGAATCTTTATGTTCAAGAAGTTCTCGTACAAGATCTCCATAATCATCTACACATTTCTTCAATGTTTTGTTCTTGGCCATAGTGGCTTTTAATTCAGTATCGATCTCAAGTTGATGAATCTGATATGAAACTTCCATGTTGGTCATAGCACTATTCAACATTTGATTTTCGACTTGACATCTTTTCAATTCACTAACAGACGTATTGCATATTTCTTCTGCAACTCGTGAATTATGATAAAACTTCTTGGCTCGTCCTTCATGTATATTGCAATTCGTTTTCAGTTTAGTGACCCCTGTTATCCACTCTTTAGGGGTGTTTCTTATGCCAGTATTTTGAAAGGCTTGGCTGGCCTTATAGAAATCTTCATGTATGGTTTCCATTTTGGTGCTCAATTTATCGTTTTCAATCTTCAAATGACGTATTTGAGCTTCAAACCTCAACAAATCTTCTTCTCTCATGGAGCCCCTACTGATACTCTTACCTTTGAAGACTTTTGGTATTAATCTAGCAGAACCTTCGGTTACCAAACTAGGTCGATCATTTACCATAAATTGTAAGGTTCCATGATCCAAAAGACTTTGGACTCGACGTTTGAAGGCAAGACAATTCTCGATGGTATGTCCTTGAGCTCCAGCATGATATTCACAATGAACGTTGATGTCATACCAATTTGGATACGGAGGTTGGAATGGTTTTATGTAATATGGAGCTACTTCTCGTGCTTCAAGTAACTTTTCATACAACTCTTTATATGATATAAGTATAGCATCAACATGAGAACCGCCTTTTATCTTAGATTGAACCTGATTTTTAGACGTCGGGAGCAGACTAAACTTTGACGATTTCAAATTGCATGATTTCTTCTCATCTCTAGAAGCTTTTACAGTGGTCATCATTTCTTCGGTATCTCTAGAAGATTTGTGAATACGAATGATGATTGTTTGTAATTTCTCAAACTGGTTAAGATCAGAAGTCCCTTGTGTATCTGACATTGCAGAGTTAGGTTCATTGAGCTCTCTCTCTTTCTGTGCAGGGGTTTCTTTTTCTTTGTCCAAAACAGATATTCTATCCATCATCTTGGTCATCTGCTTTCTTATTTCTCGTATCTCCTCTTGCTCCTTAATGGGCATACGATCTTTGGGTGCATAGCTTGCCTATATCTTCGGGGTTTTCTTAGGATGTATTTTCTTGGCCGCATCATATTTTGTTTGATCATAAAACTTTTTGTCCATTTACGATTTCTTTCCAATATGATGAACAGTCTTTCCAGTAAACACCTTTTGGTTATGCCATGATCATGCAATGCAAACAAAAGAAATCAATATGAACAGATTAGAGCAATGTAACATGCATGAAAAAAAAAGAAAAAATAGAATAGTTAGTACCAACTAATGGAAAAAAATCTATCTATCAAGGTATAAATCTTAACCTCATGCTTTCTAGTTCCATGCTTTGTTTGGAAAAATTAACCTAACCGCATGATTTCTAGTTCGCATGCATTTATTAAGGAAAAAGAAGAGGAAATAAAATAAATTAAAAGCTAGAGCTTATTTCTCCTTTGTGTATACCTACTGACAAAATTTCGGCATGGTTTCAGATCGGGAGAGTTTCTAGGGTTTATTATATGCAAGTTTTCAGTTTTAGGAGTAAAGGTACTCGAGCTGTCCTTGTTGATGCCCCCTTGGGCTATCAAACCCTCAATCCTAATCCATTACAGACTTTAGTGGATCGAGTTCAATTTGAGGGGACACATTTCTCTATGCCTGACACGGAGAATAAATTCTCACGAAGACATAGAGTATATGAACCCTGAAAGTTACTTGCTAGGTCTGACACGGAGAATAAATTCTCACGAAGACGTCGCTTTCACTCCCACTTAAAAGGGACAAGCTTAATTAGAAAGCTTATGTTATGCAATGCAAGTGTTGTGTGTGAGGAGAAATGTTCAAACCTCTAACAGACAAATAAAATAATTAATACCTGAATAAAATAAATAAACAAATATTAATAAAATAATATAAAAATAATAAGTAATAAAAATTTTGAAAGAAAAGAATTAAAAATTAAATAAATGAATTTTTAATTTCTAATTAATAGAGACAATTTATAATTAATTTTAAAGTTTGACGGTCCCCAGCGAAGTCGCCAAGCTGTCGTAACTGGTTTTTGTCCGGACACGAATTTTTTACTTGGCGGGAAAAGTGATGTTAATAAATGGTTTTTTTTTTAAATAATTTGGGAGTCGCCATCGGCCTTTTGGGTTAGGTAGGTCGAATACCTAAAAATTATCTTTTAAAAGAGTTTTAAGAAAACATCAGTTAAAAGATGAACTGATCTGCGTTTATTACCAAAAATTCGTTCTTTTTAATAATAAAAAAGGGATTCGTGGTCGGTTACGTTTAGGGAAGGATTAGCACCCCTACAACACCCAAAATTGGTACTTTTTAATTATAAATTGCCTCTAATAATAGAATTTAAGAATTCAAATATTTAATTTATAATTCTGTTATCTCAAATTTATTACTATAATTTTTAAGAAAATCTAGTAATTTATATATATTTATAAGTAAAATATTTATTTATTTAGAAATATTAGAAAAGGACTTCTAGGTGCCTTAAGACAGTTCTTTTCTTCGATATTAAATATTAACAATATAATAATTTAAATAAAATTAAATTATAATTTTTTATAATATTTAATTTTAAAATACCAGAATAGGACATCCAGTTGTATTAAGACTGTCCTTTTCTTTGATATTGAAAAAAATAAATAAATATTAAAATATGATAAAAAATAATTTATGTAAGATCAAATTAAGATTTAAAATAAATTATTATTTATTATATATATATTTATATGACTATATAAAAATATAATTTAAATATATAAACAAGTAAAATTAAAACATAAATAAACAATAATAAAAATAAAATTAGAACTATATATTTAAAAGCAGTAAAACTTTATAATAAATGAAAATATTTAAAATTAGTGACTAAATTATAATCTAATAAAATTAAACCTAATTCGTGATTAATTATTTAAAATTGCAGGGATTAAATATGTTATTCTCCTTATTTATTAATTTGGTGACTAAAATAAAATTATATAAAATTCATATATCAAATTAAAATAAATTGAAATATGCTGTTCGGGGTTTAAAATATCAATTATTAAAATTAAAGGATTAAATATGATATTTATCCTAAATATATTATTTTAATATAAAGGACTAAAATAAATAAAATTAAAATTAAAGAATCGAATTAAAAGGATTATAAATTGATTTAGTGACCAAAATGTAAGGATTACAAATTAGGATGGTTACGGAAAGGGTTTAACTTTTAGTTAATTACAGACAGACCCCTCCCCAAAATGGCGTCGTTTGGGGAGGGCTATTTAAACCCTAACCGGCTGGCCCGAAGGGCCAGCTCTCATTTCTCTCATTTTCTTCCTCTATCTAAACTGAGAGAGTTTAAACTCTCTCTCGCTTCTCTCTAGCTTCCCTCATCGGAGAGAAGCCGGCTACCGAGCGGCAGCCATCTTCCGCCGTAATCCCCACCGCCGGCCACCATTTCCGATGGTCGGAAAACACCAAAATTTCCCAAACCCTAGATCCAAGTACCCTAAACCCGATTTCACCCTTCTTTTATCCTAAAAAGTTATGGATTTTCCTAGATCTAAGGAAAATACCTTCGGTATTTTTGGTTCTCAGGCGCCGTTTGGGGTTCTCCGGTAAGGTAAACTCTTCCTTCTCTCTTCTCCGTTTGATTGCTGGTTGTTGTGAGTTGGTCTCTATTTTTTTGTATCTTTGCTCTCTGTTTGGTTGCTCTGTGGCTGTTGGTTGCTTCCGTTTTTCTTTGCAGGTTCGGTGGTGGCTTTATAGCCATCACCGGCGCTTGTCTCGGACCGGGTAAAAGAGTAGAGTTCGGTGAGTCACCGAACTTCCAGTGGTGACTCACCGTTGAGGGCAATGTGTGCGGCTATGGCTTGGCCTTCTGGATCCTTCGGTTGGCGTCATGGCAGCGTGGTAGCAGAGGTTGGCGAACGGCGGCCGCGTGGTCCCTAGGGTATCATTACCCTAGGGTTTGTTCTGGATGAGTGTGGGCCGTTGGATCTCTCAGATCCAACGGCTGTGATGCTGAGGCGGCTAGGGTTAGATGATACAAATCCTAAATTGAGTTTAGGGTTTCCTGATGGGTTTGGGCCAGTTTGGGTCATCAGGACCCATTTGTAATTGGGCTCCGGCTTATGTAATTTGGGCCTGTAATATAATAAAATTAATAATAATAAATAATAATAATAATAATAATAATAAATAATAATAATAATAAACCAAATGTAAAAAAACTAGTGTCTTCAAAGAGCATTCACAATCGCCGCTTTAAACTCCGCTGCTAGCTCTTTCTCCGCGATAGCCACTGTCCCTAACGCCTCGGCCGCCACCTTTCTCGTTCCCCAATCTTCGTTACTCAAAGACTCAACCGCGCAAGGCACTAGTCAATCCAAGACACCTTTACTTCCGGCACCGCCAACGCTGGCAACGCTTTCAATAACTCCGAACACGGCCGCTTTCGCTTTGAAACTTTCGCTCCTCAATAACCTCCCCAACTTTGGCAAAGCCTTCTTAAGCTGCTCCGTCTCGGGATCCGGCGCCGCCGACAAACTCATCGCCGCTCCGATCTGCGAGTTAACGTCTTGCTCCACCACGAGCATTTCGATCAAAGGCTTCGACAGAACTGAAAATGGAGGCTTCGTGATGTGAGACGACATAGCGGTCGTCGCCTCGACGCAAGCGGATCGGACGGCGAAGTCGGGGTCGCGGAGGCGGCGGGCGAGGGTGGAAATCATCTTAGAAAGGTGAGGAGATAGGATGTTGCCGTGCGAGTGAGACATCAAAGTCAAAAGTATCACGCATTGCCTCCGAACCGGAGACTTGGCCGAAGAGTCGGTGTTGTGAAGGCAGTTAAGGAACGGAGAGATGGAATCGGTGGTGAGGTTTCGAGCGATGGACTCGAGCTCGGCCGAAGCGAGTGCGAGAGTGTCGCGGTCGGCGAGCTTGTTGAGGCAAGTGAAAACGCGTTGTTTGAGATCGCGCTGTTGCGGTTGAGGACTCGGCGGTGACCGGTTCTTGAAAGACATTGTTGCTTATGGCTAAGTATTGATTTTTGCGAAGCCCTTGTATACTGCATTCGAGAAATTGAGAAAGTGGGTGTGTGAAATTGGCGGTAAAAAATGGTGGTTTTAGGAATTTGCGGCATGAGAGGAAGGGTTTCACTTGTATATAATTGTGCTGATGCCAATATTAAACGTACCTACATATTGAACCTATAAGACCGGACCAGACCGATCAAACTGCTTCTTTAACCATTATATAAACTATTTCCTTTGAATTGGAAAGTGGCTTTAAATTAATGAGTCGAGAATAGTTTTATAATATATGAGAAGTTATACAGGATACCCTTAATATATTATTAAAAAAATTATGTTATCGATTTTATTATTATTTAATAGTTAAATCGGTAAAAAATTACTTAAAATATTATTATTTCTACCTAAAAATCAATATTTTTTAATATTTTCGACAAAATATCTAAAAATAACAAAATCAGTAAAAAAAAATAATAAAACCGATTGTGTCTAATACTAATAAAATCAATAAAAATAATAATATTTTCAATAATATTTTTTTAACTATTTATTAAGATTACCGCACGTGATATTTTTCATAATATATATATATGAATTGTGATATATCTCTTAAAATAAGTGATAGAATGTTAGACGAGTGGGTACTTTTGTCAGTCCATCAGTCACCATATTATATTCTCGTAATATTAAAAAAAATGTAAATTAGGCTTGATTCTAAATGACATAAATGGCTTTTACGAGTGGAAGAGGATTGAAGTCTACGTTTGAATCATAGACTAATTTTCTAGTTTCTTCGCAATCTGGTTGCACTAGGAAATATTCAGAACCGTAGGTTCATATCACTTGAATACCAACATAAAATCTTCTCAACTTAAAGAGGCGTGACGATGCTGAAAGCTTTTCGAAATCCAACCATCGTCGTAGAGCGAAACGCATCTCTCATATAAACTATTAATTAATTTATTATTAGAGTGTTTTTAAGTAAAAAAGGAAAAAGTCTCATGAAAAATAAATATAATTGTAACTAATTATTTTTTTATTAAACTAAGGTGATTACAAGTGGTAGTATCTATTTTAAAGATTTAAAATTATTTCATAATAAAATGTTTAATTATTTTACAGTTGTTGGTACTCGAACATGTGACATCTGAAAATAACAATCACCATTTAATCACTAAGATTACTTGTTTCATGTCATGGTAAATAGTTGTTAAAATAAGAGGAAGGTAAAATTAGTTTAGTATTAGATGTAAATTTGAATGCGAGGCGGTGGCCGCCTCCACCATCTTCTTCTTTGATGTTTTCACGCTCTCCTTTTGATCGCTCCTCATCTGATTTCTTAAGCCAACTTAGTGTTGTCGATTCCTCCTTTGTTCTTTTCAAGTTTTAATCGGCACTGCTCTGGTGTTTTGGGGATTAGGTTTCGTTTTGGCTTTTGTCGCCAAATTTGCTACTCGTTTAGCTGGGAGTTCTCTTCTAGTTTGGTGAGGTTGTTCCTTTCTCTTCCAGCTAAGTCTTCTCCTGTATATTATTGTTTGATGTTTCGTGCTTGAGATCTGGCTTGCTTCTGACATTAGTTTTCATAGTTTTTGAATTTCTGAGTAGGCTACAAATCTATTTTCGGGAGTCTGGTCGTGATGGATATATTTGTTTGCAAGTTGTTTGTGTTAATGCCATAGTGTATGAGTGAGAGTGCTTAGGCCTTTTTCGGTTCCTGCTTCGGTGTTAGTGGCTTTCTCCTTTATTAGGTAAGGTTCTTGGCAGTTTGAGGGTCATTATGGTGAGTTTCTGTGTGTGTTTTCTATAGAAGTGTAGGCGAGTAGCATCTAGGGTTGGATTCTCATATTCTTTAGTTTGCTTATCCAGATTTATTTGAGGTTGGTACGTGTTTATCAGGGGTTAAGGAGGTTTAAGGCTTAGGTATTGAGGATGTTTTGTGGTGTTTAGTGGAGCTGGAGCAGTTTAGTTCCAAGTGTTTTTCCATAGGTTTAATAGGTTTATTTTTGTGTTAGTCTGGTTTTTGTGGCTGAAGTGTTATCGGTTGCCAAGCAATTTTCTGGTGGAGCTCTTCATCTCACCGTGTTCTGGTTGGTTGGTGGTGGTGTCTAGTGGCCTGTACCTGAGTGGATGGTTCAGCCTTGTGCTTTGGTGTTGTTTCAGCGAATCAGCATTGTAGGTTAGTTTGATCCGAGTGTTTTGCTGGCTCAGTTCTTCGAATGTAAGCTCACCGATCTCTAGTCGGATGAGTCTTGTTTCAAGGTTTTTTAGAGTGGTTTGTTAGGTTGAACTTCGGTGGAGAGATTGATGTCTGGTTTTTCATTGATATTTCATTGTTAGTGTGGTACGTTCGATTCTTCATCGTTTTCAGGTTCTTGTGGGGTTCTGCTTTTTAAAGCCTTGAAGTTACAAGTTTGATTCCGTTTTGTTGTCGCCAGATTGCCTCTGGTAGTGCAGCGGGCTTCGGTGGTCCCTGCCATTTGCTCGGTTATCATTTAGTATGGCTCTTGGGCTGGGACGGTGATGGTTGCTTTCTTTGCTGCAGGAGGATTCTCTTGCTTTTGCTGTCTTCGAGGTAGCTTTTCTGAAGTTTGTTTCAGGGAAGCACTGAGTTGAGGTGTGATGCTTGGTTCTCTAACATTTTGCAGGTATTTAGGTAGTGTGGTGATAGTTTATTAGTGTGCCCATATTGTTTTAGTTTGGGCCACTATTCAGTGGGTGGATGTTAGCATCAATTTAGTTGGTTTATTTTGTAGTGTCCATATTGTTCTTCGAGGAAGTGTGGAAGGATTTTCAGCAAGTGTGTGTCTCTTTCCTAGTGACGTGCCTTCAGTCAAGTTCAGGGTGTTGTTGTTGGTCTGTTCCAGTGTTTGGTTCATTCCTCTGGTTTTGCTGTATGCATATTTCGTAGTGTGACCTATTTTCTTATTGTTGGTTGTCTGTGTTAGCTTTTTTATGTGTTGGTTTGGTGATTGTGGTAAAGTGTGGGTATGTTCTGAATGATGTTACTATTCTATGTATTTGTTCTCTACCACCTAATGTACACTATTTTTTCTCCATATAGGATTAGAGAGGTTTTTTTAATGAGGGCATTGAGGTGGTGTACTTTGTTACTTTCTTTAATACAAAGTACTCTATTTAAAAAAAAAGATGTAAATTTGAATTGATTTGATTCAAAATATAAACAAGAAATAGATCCTTAATTTTTGAAGTCAAAGATCACAGGGGCATAATAGAGATGTAAAGAGTAGCTGCCACTGCCAGCTTTATATACGTATTAAACGACGCATATCATTATCGATCTCAATTATTCGTAGACTTAGCCTAATAAAATCAACTACACTTGGACCGTTAGTATCATCAATCAGATGAGAAATAAATTTCAACAGCTTTAGCTCTAGCTTTTGTAGTTAAAAAAAAGGAATAATCTCACAATAATATTAATGCTACTATTATTTCAATAACAATATGGCATTTTATGAATCACAATACACTTTCGCTTTTTTTAATGTAATTCGATAATTAATAGATTAATAGTAAAAATAGAAGAGAATAAATAAGGATGAGTTTGATTCGAGGTAACATGAATATTCCAACTATAATCATTTTGACTTATTAATCATTCCAAATTATTTAAACCCATACAGTACTAATTTTTCCTTTGATTAAATTAAAACCCCATTGTTTATGATAATTATTGTATATAAATAATTACTTAAGTTATCCAAATTGAAATTCCAATAGAGAACACCCACGTGACTAAATGTATATAGACATGAGCATGTGTTAGGATCTAGGGTTAACAATTAAAAGTAAATCTAGGCTTAGGGCTTAGGAGGATACAAACTATAGCTTAGCCGAGAATATAATGTAGAGCATGTGAGGGGGCAAAGAATGATGGGGACAATAAGGTGCGTTTAGTTCGCTGGAATGTTTTTGAGGGAATTGAAATTTGTGAAAGAATTGGAATCTGTAGGAATTGAAATCTGAATCTGAAACTGTTTGGTTGGCAGGAAATTGAATTAGAATCAATTTCATATTCTGTTTGGTTCGCAGACATGTTAGATGAATTTGATTTCAATAATGTAAAATGATAGAATTGTCCTTCTTATTTTTTTTTGCTTAATTTTAGTTTGTTTTATAACTTGCATGTAGTAATATATTATAAAAATATTAAAAATATTAAATTTTCATTTTATTGATTGATTATTCATTTCAATAAATTATAAAAATCATACTAATAAACATCATAAGTTAAAATCATCACAATTAGAGATGATCATGGGTCGGGTCGGGTCGGGTTTTTGGTCCACCCGACCCTACCCAAGAACAAGGGAACCTCCACCTGAGACCCGACCCGACCCGAATATATGAATTAGAAACCCGACCCGACCTGAAATAATAAAAAATTATTTTTATTCAATAAAAATAGTGACTTAATTGAAAAAAATATATATAGAGGGGTATTATTGTAATTATTTCTAAATATATAAGGTAAAATATATATAGAGGGGTATTATTGTAATTATTTCTAAAATTATATATTTTTTCGGGTCGGGTATTTTTCACCCTAAACCCGAACCCGACCTGAATATCACACTTAAAAAAACCCGACCCGACCCGAATATCAAACTTAAAAAAACCAGACCCGACCCGAATATCAAACTTAAAAAAACCAAACCCGACCCGACCCAATTTGTTTTAAAAAAAATCAGACCCGATCTCGATTTTTTTTAAAAAAAATACGACCCGAATACCAAAAGATTAATGAGAGTAGTATGGTCAAATTTCACATTTACTCCTCCAAAGGATTTCAATTTCATCATGTTATGGATGAAATTTACTTTCTCTCCCTTGATGGAATTGGATTCCAATTTCCCCTTTAAAAATTTGAACCAAACATGGGAAAGTGGTGGAATTGAATTCCAATTCTACCTAATTCCAAGGGATTCCAGGGAACCAAACGCAACCTAAGGGTGTGTTTGGTTGGGGGA